AAGACCTCCAAGTGAGGGATTTAGTCGAGGCGAGTCCTTCTTTGTCTCATTTAACTTAGTCCCGCCGGTGAACAAACACAGATTGCACTAACTTTTAACTTAAGCCAGTCCAGTGAGAGCTAAAGAAGGGAAACAAGCACCCTCTAATTGTTTCTATACAGAGACTGCTAAAGAAACAGCATGATCAAAATCAAAGAATCATGAGGCGGCCCCAGCAAGCCCCTCAGCGGCTCTACATCCCTCCGTCCCTCCATCGTCGCACGGCGGAAACAGCCACGACAACTACGAAGACACCGACCTCGACAACATCGATTACGACGACAACGATGGTTCCAAGGACCCCGGGAGTGACGACAACAACCACGGCAACGCTGGCAGCAGTGATGAGGAAGTCGATCCTCTGGATGATTTCATAGAGGGGATTCATGCGGAGGTGACGTCAGCTAGGCCGCCGAGCTGAAAGTGAAGGCCGAGAAGTACAGGGATGATGAGGAGGAGGATCATATGGATAGGTTTTTTAGGGCTAAAAAGGATGTGGTGCTCACACTGGCATCGGGTGCTTTACACGCCGGATATGACTCCGATGAGGAGGTATATGCGACCGCCAAGGCCGTCGATGCCGGGTTGTTGGAGTACGATTCAGATGATAATCCCATTGTTCTGGACAAGAGGAAGATCGAACCGATTCCAGCTCTCGATCATAGTTCAATCGACTACGAGCCGTTTAATAAGGATTTTTACGAGGAGAAATAGTCGATTTCAGGTAAATTCCAACCGAATTGAGAATTTTGTTCCTTTCTTTTTTGTTTTCCATTCACATTTAATTTTTTTTTTATGAATTTAGTCGAAATGCGTAGCAAAGTATATAAATTTGAGTGAGAGAGAATATTGACCGGCAGAAGTTCTCAAGAAGACAATGGAAGACTAGAGTTAACTGGTGTTTTGGTTTCCTTGTTTAGGGATAAGTGAGGAGGATGTTTTTTAGTACAAGAAGAGCTTGGCCATCCGTACGTCGGGTTTTGATATACCGAGGCCAGTTAAGACATTTGAAGATTGTGGATTTTCTTCACAACTCATGGCTGCCATAAAAAAACAAGACTACCAAAAGCCGACACCAATACAATGCGCAGCTCTACCCATAGTTCTTTCCGGGAGAGATATAATTGGTATTGCGAAAACTGGTTCTGGAAAGACTGCCACTTTTGTCATTCCAATGATTGTCCACATTATGGATCAGCCAGACCTTCAAAAAGAAAAAGGTCCAATTGGAGCGATATGTGCTTCTACTAGAGAGCTGGTGCACCAAATATACTTAAGAGTCCAAAAAATTTGTGAAATCACATGGGATACGTGTCTCTGCTGTATATGGTGGAATGTCTAAGCTTGATCAGTTCAAAGAACTTAAGGTAGGATGTGAAATAGTTGTTGCTACTCCTGGGAAATTAATCGACATGCTTAAAATGAAGGCACTGACAATGCTTAGGGCAACTTACCTAGTACTTGATGAGGCTGATCGGATGTTTGACCTTGGGTTTGAGCCTCAAATTAGATCTATTGTTGGTCAGATTCGGCCAGACCAACAGACATTGCTCTTTTCTGCAACAATGCCCCGTAAAGTTGAAAAATTGGCTAGGGAGATTCTCTCAGATCCTATAAGAGTTACAGTGGGTGAGGTGGGAATGGCCAATGAGGATATCACTCAGGTTGTTCATGTAATTCCTTCTGATGATGAGAAGCTGCCCTGGCTTATTGAGAAGTTACCTCGAATGATTGATGAGGGTGATGTTTTAGTATTTGTTTCAAAAAAAGGCTGCAGTGGATGAGATCGAGTCACAGCTTGCTCAGAAAGGTTTTAAAGTCACAGCTCTGCATGGTGACAAGGACCAGGCATCTCGGATGGATATTTTGCAAAAATTTAAATCTGGCATTTACCATGTTCTTGTTGCAACTGATGTTGCTGCTCGTGGTCTTGACATCAAGTCAATTAAGTCGATTGTGAACTTTGATATTGCAAAAGACATGGACATGCACGTCCATCGAATTGGTAGAACAGGTCGGGCTGGTGATAAGGATGGCATTGCATACACTCTTATTACACAGAAAGAGGCACGTTTTGCTGGTGAGTTGGTTAATAGCTTGGTTGTTGCTGGTCAGATTGTCTCCACGGAGCTCATGGACCTTGCGATGAAGGTAATTTTGCAGTACTATTAACAATTTTTTTTTTTTGTGGTTTATATAGCGAGTTTATACATGCATCCAACTACCTGCCTTTTTGTTTTAGAGATGGTGGTTATAACCATAGTTTGTAATCCTATAATGCATTTAAGCGAATACAAGTTATTAATATGTTCTCTGGTAAAACGTGCTCTTTTAATGCAATCTGGATTCTGGACAATTACACCTACTGGTTTTTGTCTCACAAATTAACTACACTCTACTATATAGGTGCATAGGTTGCTTCTGATTTAGAGTGCGCTTTCGAGAGAGATGGATTTGATGACCATTTGGTTTTCAAGGCCTTATTTTGGAAAGCTTCAGTATGTCCTTGCAATTACAGGGATCTTGAGATCGTTGACTTCATAACGTCAAGATAGTAAATTTCAGGAAACGTGCTTAGTTTAGAGAGAGAGTAATTAGACAGTATTTAGTAGTCCCATCTTTACTTCATACCATGCTCTGCATAGAGAAGGGGTTGTTGGGGGTGTATGTTGGCTTGTGGGGCTGTGGATTGAAGCATAGGGATGAATTGAAGATAAAGCTCAGTCTGGGCCCTCTGGGGACTTATTAACTTTTGTGTATTATTAAGTACTTGCTTGCATTATACCAATACATCGGTTGAGGCCAACCAACATTTAAGAACTAAGAGAAAAATCGCATTTTAAGTACTAAATCTTAATTACCACATGGACCCTTAGTAAATTGTCACTTATTTTTCCTTGTGCCAATATATCTCATAGACATAAATGCACAACTTATCATGATAGGTGGCTGCACCTGCATTAGTTTTAGAAGTTTTACACTATGAGAGCCACTCATGCATCATTTATTCAGTCTTGTGACTTTTAATTCTTGCCTTGCTGCTTGTAGCTTTATATTTTATATCCATCATTACACTGGTTTCCATCTCCTACATGGATGTGCAGTTATTTTGGGTGCACCTCGTCTGTGGAACTTTTGTTGCTTTCCCTAACTATGTTTCTTGTTTGATAGCTTTAGATGTTAGCGTGAGACGTTAGATTTCAGATCTTACATTCTCTATTTTAATGGGATTTACCTTGTTTATTATCAGGATGGTAGATTTAGGTCAAAACGCGATTCAAGAAAAGGAGGTATAAACTTTAATCATATTAAAATTTCAATTTTCTTAAGATTCTTTTGCAATTTCATATTAAATTAGCCTTTTTCTATAATTCAAATGATGATATTATATGGATTTTGCAGGTGGAAAGAAAGGTAGAGGGAGGGGCGGCGGTGGTCGAGGTGTGCGTGGGGTGGATTTTGGTCTGGGTATTGGATATAATACGGAGTCCAATAGTTCTTCATCGAATACTATTCCTAGTCGATCTGCTGCAGTAACTCCTCAGAGGACAGGAATGATGTCTCAGTTCAAGACTAAATTTGTTGCCGCTTCATCTAACTCTCCAAGTCAAGGTTTAGCTAACAACTTTAGTGTGCCCAACAGACCGGCATTACGAGGATTTGTATCCGGTGGTTCAATAGGTGGTGATGTATATATAACTCAGGCAACCAGTACAATTACTCCTACTCCTGCTCCAACATCAATGGTAAATAAAACTGCTACTCCGAACACTGGAGAAAATTCAAGTCAGAAACCCTCCGAAAGGTTAATTAAAATGATGCTTGGTTAGAATTTTTGATGTCTTTACATATTTGATTGGTGTTGAGCAGTTTCATTTGTGTCGATTGCAGTTCTAGAGATAAACCCAGAGAAAGGCGGAGGCGCTCCGGTTGGGACTGTTAACCGTACAGTTGAACTACACCACTTTCGCATCATGAATGACAAGTTTTACCTTTGTTGTAGGTCAAGTCCTGATATGCCTGTATTATTGTTGATCTTTCTCACTTTCTTTGTCGCTCTGTTTATAAGTTAAAAAGAAACAGAAGATTTTGTAAACTCAGATCGACTTGTTGCACAAATAGCGGATGATTTAAAAGATAGACTGTTCAGATCATTAAAATACATTATGAAGTAGATTCTACAAAAAGTTGTGCCATGTAAAAAAAATGTGGTGTTTCACATGTGCTCCGTATGTTATTTATATTAATCATTCTGAATAACATCATAACTCAACGATTGGTATATAATACAATAAGGCCTCGTTTGATGTCAATGATTTGATTGGTTTTGATTAGATTAGATTGGCTTAGTCTGGAGAATTCACTAGATTCAGTGAATGTTGAATGAAAATATGGATTGCATATTTTGTTCAAGTGAAGATGGAAGAGAAAAAGAATAAGACTAGTATAACAAATCAAATATTTACGGAGCATGCATAGGTTTTTAATTACAACTATTCGTCAATTGATACTTCTAATTTTTGGTTTTAAATGCTATTATCTCTTAAATAAAATAATTATGTTGTTTTAGTCTCCTCATCGTATTGTACGTGTCGAATTCGTGTGAAGTCTGGTGGGACAAGAGAGAGATAAGGAGGTTGACTTTGATCAATTGATCTCCTTTCCATAACCATTTTTCTTTACCTTCATCCCCTTACACAAAGTCCGTTCTTAAGATCTCGAGTTCTCTCTCAATGGCTGCTAAAAGTTCCCGAGATTCTTCTTCGTCCTCTTACCGGTGTTCCTATCATGCCTTCCTGAGTTTCAGGGGCCAGGACACGCGCAGGGGCTTACTGATCACCTCTATAGAGCTTTGGAGATAGCAGGAATCCACACGTTTAGAGACGATGATGAAATCAAGAGAGGGGAGAATATTGAGTCGGAGTTAGAGAAGGCGATACAGGAGTCACAAGTATCGATGTCTTCTCCAAGGACTACGCTTCCTCAAGGTGGTGTTTGAACGAACTTCTGAAGATCGTGGAACGTAGAAATACTGATCATAGACATGTGGTTCTGCCAGTTTTCTATGAGGTGGATCCATCCGATGTCAGGAAGCAGAGTGGTCCTTTTGCTGAAGCATTTGCCAGACATGAGGAACGATTCAGTACGGAGATGGACAAGGTGGAGCAGTGGAGAAGAGCTCTTGGAGATGTTGCATCTTTGGGAGGAATGGTTTTAGGAGATCGGTAATTTCTATTCTCAATATATTCTTGAGCTTATTGAAAGTGTTTTAAATTAAGTAAAATTGTAGATATGTTCCTATGTATACAGCAATTTGTACGATGAGCAATCATCTCCGTACGACATATCATTTACTACAACTTCATGTAAAAGAAAATAACTTATTTCTGCTTCATGTATTTTGATTCAAATGAATTACAGGTATGAGGGGCAGTTCATCCAAGAAATTGTTGAAGAGATTAGAAATAAAGTGGGTCACGCAGCTTTAGACGTCGCTCCCTTTGCAGTTGGAATGGATAATCGTGTGCAAGACCTAAACATGTGGCTACAAGATGGATCCAATGATGTTGGTGTAGCTGTCATCTGTGGGATGGGTGGAATTGGCAAGAGCACCATCGCGAAAGCCGCGTATAACCGCAACTTTGATAGATTTCAAGGTAGCAGCTTTCTTGCAGATATACGAGAATCTGCAGAACAACCCAATGGTTTTGCTTGCTTGCAAAGAAAACTTCTTTCAGATATCCAAAAGGGGAAAGCAAAGAAAGTATACAATATGGATGAAGGAACAATCAGGATCAAACAAGCCGTTGGCAATAAAAAAGTTCTTATTGTTCTTGATGATGTGAGCAACCGGGATCAACTCAATGCAATTCTTGGAATGCGAGAGTGGCTTCATCCAGGAAGTAAAATTATCATAACAACTAGACATGAGCATTTGTTAAATGCTCATAAAGTTTTTGAAAAGTTTATGGTTCAAGGACTGGATGAGGATGAATCACTAGAGCTTTTCTGTTGGCATGCCTTCAGACAATCCCATCCAGAAGAAGGTTACATGAAGCTTTCAAGACATGTGGTCCAGCACTGTGGAGGGCTTCCATTAGCTCTTCAAGTTCTGGGATCTTCTCTATCCGGAAAATGTGTAGAAGTGTGGCAAAGTGCATTGCAGAAGTTAGACGTGATCCCTAATGACAAAATTCAAAAAGTTCTGAGGATAAGTTTTGATTCTTTACAAGATGATCATGACAAAAATTTATTCCTTCACATAGCCAGTTTCTTCACAGGAAAGAGGATGGATTATACAAGTAGAATATTGGACAGCTTAGAGTTTTACACAAGGATTGGGATTGAAAATCTAGTTGACAGATGCCTAGTGAAAATTCAATGGAACAGGTTGGTCATGCATCAATTGGTGAGAAAAATGGCAATGGAAATTATTCGTGAAGAATCACCTGATGACCCTGGAAAACGTAGTAGAGTGTTGCAGAAAGATGCCTCTAATATTTTGAGAAAATTAAGTGTAAGAACTATGTTTTTCATATGTATGTATTTTTCGTTATGATTTGTATGTGCAGTACTAGTAATATACTTACCCAATTCTCTGATTTGTTAGCAGGGTACGGAAAATATTAAGGGCCTCATGCTCAACCTTGCTAGCAAAAGAACGTTTGTTCGAAGTGATAAAAAACGATGCCATGTTGAAGATTATGATGGAAATTGTTCAAGACGACGTCGGCTTGGTTTCTTCTCTTGGAAGCCAATTAGCTTTTCCTCCACAAACTCAGCTTCTGCATCAAATGAGATAGATTTCAAATCTGAGGCATTTAGAAGGATGCAGAATCTTGAAATTCTCATTCTCAACAACGTCAACATCAGGGGAAGCTACGAAGAATTTTCAAAAAATTTAGTATGTTTATCTTGGCGGGGATTCCACTTAAAATCAATACCAGAAAATTTTTGTTTGGAAAACCTGGTTGTTCTAGACATGCGAAATAGTAGCCTACAACATGTTTGGAATGGGACCAGGGTATGTAACTCTCTCTCTCTCTCTCTCACAAACACACACAAATTAATAGGGGCCATTATATCGTCTTAGAAGCTAATTCATTTGTATTATTATTGACACAGGTTATTCCGAGGCTGAAGATTCTTAATTTCAGTCATTCGCATGGCCTTAGGACAATCCCCGACTTCTCAGGACTCTATAACCTTGAGAGGTTGATTCTTAAACATTGCTTAAATTTGGTTGAGGTTCATGAGTCCATCGGACACCTAGAAAAACTTCTTGTTTTGAATCTAAAAGGCTGCAAAAATCTCATGAAGCTTCCAATATTGAGATCTATTCAGGATCTTATTCTTTCTGGTTGCTCAAAGCTTGAAATGAAGAAACTCAATCTGGTATCATCTAAATCATGGTATTCAGTCTGGTCGTGGGTGTCGCCAAGAAAAAATACTAAATTAAGCAGTTTCTCATTGGCAAGTTTACCACGTTCTCTGACAAGTTTAAGTCTGGATTGCTGCAATATATCAGAGATTCCAAGTGCCCTAACTATGCTGTCCTCGTTAGAGTACTTGAATCTGGATGGTAATCCGATTACAAGCCTACCAGAAAGCATGAACTATCTTGTTAAGCTCCGGACTCTTAAAGGATCTGAATGCAGAAACCTCACAACACTTCCAGAGCTCCCACGTTCTTTGACGAGTTTAACGCTGGTTCGCTGCAATATATCAGAGATTCCAAGTTCCCTAACTATGCTGTCCGCGTTAAAGTACTTGAATCTGCATGGTAGTCCGATTACAAGCCTACCAGAAAGCATGAACAATCTTGTTAAGCTCCAGACTCTTAGAGTATCTGGTTGCAGAAACCTCACAATGCTTCCAGAGCTCCCACGTTCTTTGACAAGTTTAAATCTGGCTTGCTGCAATATATCAGAGATTCCAAGTGCCCTAACTATGCTGTCCTCATTAAAGTACTTGGATCTTGATGGTAATCCGATTACAAGCCTACCAGAAAGCATGAACAATCTTGTTAACCTCCAGACTCTTGATGTAACTGGTTGCAGAAACCTCACAATGCTTCCAGAGCTCCCACGTAGTTTGGAACAATTGCATGATAGAGGTTGCGCATCATTGAAAAGAATAACAAATTAACCGAAGTTGGCCATGTCACCGGACTTAGATTACTGGTTTTCTTGCATAGTAATGGACCCAAGGCTATGGTATTGTGGGAAACTTGTTGATTTTAGAAGCTTGTTGGATACACTAGCATTGGTCTCATATCTCTCAGATCTATTCGATTTGGAACCCAAAGGTGGCATTGAGGTCCAAGGGAACTATTGTGAGAGTTTGGGCGTCAAGGTTCTCTCTCTCTCTCTCTCTCTCTCTCTTATGTACAGGTGCTTATAATATGGTGAATAAGATCTCTATGGCGTAAACGATTAGATTGTAATGACAACATCACCATGGAACTGCAGGGAACTTTTGACTGCTGCATATTGAGCATATTTGTTCAGGGGAGCAAGATTCCAGATCGGTTCAATTACAGGAGCATGGGTAACACTGTGTTCTCTATTATTGTTCCTTCACATCTTAATCTCAAGATCGTAGGTTTAAACGCATGTATATTATATGCACAGCAGTCGGATCGGAGCCTTGAGGTTGCACGTGGCCATGATCACCGTTCGCTTGAACTTAGGAATGAGACAAAGGGCCGTAAGTGGAACTTAAGAATGCGGAATGAGGTTGAATGGAACTTAAGAATGCCGTTGGATCATGGGGAACAATGAGTTGGAATGCGGGGAAAGAGTGTGTCTTGCAATCAAAGAGGACAATGGTTTCCTCACAAAGGAGATTGGAGTCCAGTTTGTGTACAAGCGGCAAAATAAGGATAGGGAGGATGTGCCATCAAGTAGTGAAGATACAACGATCCAACGAGAAAGATCTCCTTGGGAGTAGACCCAAAGTTTCCTTGAAACCACAAGACCCCGTGTTCCGGGGGGTGTAGAGACGGGGATTCAATGCATCCATAGCTGCGATAAGAAAGTAATTTCAACTGTCATGTGTGCGGCTGAATACTATTTCTGTAACAGTGACAGGATCGAGAGGCTCTACCGCAGTGGGTCGTAGGCTTTCGGACTTTTAGCCAAAATAACCCAGTTTAATTGATGTTGGTGATGCCCAAATCACTAGATTCAGATGTGTATTGGTTGTTAAGCTTTCGTTTCTATCTATTTTCTGTTTCCTCCTAAAAAATTGTTTTCAAGAATTTAATAAAATTCCATACCAAACAAGTTCTTGCCTAGATAAGAGTATGAACTAGCAAAAATGCCCGTGCTGCGCTGCGTGGTTGTGTGACACGCATTTGGTAAGCTTCGGGGGAGATAAGAGTAATGGTAGAACTTAATGAAACTTGGTTGATTAGATTTTTTTTTTTTTTTTTTTTTTGTTCATAGTAACGGGCATTGTGCAGGTAAGTCATTTTCTTCAGAGAATTGGGGAACAGGTTCATGGTCTTCTTTACACAAATCTATGTTTAGTTTACCACATAGATTAGTGGCAACGATCACACGACCATCGCCAACTACCGCTACTTCGAAATCAAAAAACCGCAAACTAAGGTTAAGTGTTGGTAAAGATGAAAGGTTATATGTATTATGTGACTAATGACTGATGTTGCCGAGACACGAAAAACATGAAGCTTCCTGGAACTATTTGGTTTAGTGAAAAGTAAATTTCGAACATTGTTTCGTGGTGTTACGCATGCCAACCACATACTCTGCGGGTGCTCACAAGGATTCGACATCTTCTTCCTGATGCTCCAGAACAATGGTGGCAAGAGCAAGTCTATAAGCTGAAGATCTCAAATTCCTGACTAGAACATATATTTCCTTTCGTCTTCGCTTAGCTGGCACCAAATCCCATTGTTCCTCTCTGAGACGAGCGAGTACAACTGCCTCGCAAAAAGCTTCTGCTACTGGCTTCTTGCTGCATATAAAATAAAATGCAATTTAGCACATGGAAAATGATGAACGCATAGCAAAATAGAAAGAAAAGATGGTCGTTGTAAAGTGGCAAGAGGCTGTGAACTAACATCCCTCTAACAAAACCAGTGGTGACGAAGCCCATTGGCGAACGATAAGTTTCTCTAAGAACAGGGTCCTCTGGCATTTGGAGTTCCCACTTACCAGAAGATTGCTCTGTGAAGTACGAAGCCACAGCAGATTGAGGCATTTGAAGTCCTCCATCGAAACTCTCTGACCTGCAAGACACACACATGAAGCTTATTTTTCAAAATTATTGGTCTGCAGCATGAATGGTGCTCTGAAATACGTATAAAGTCTTTCAAAAATAGCTGCAAAACTTCAAGTCACTCCCACGATTAAAATTTTCAACGGTTACATTAAATCTCAGAAAATTTTCATCAATGCAAGTTCTGAATAAGAGACGTAATGTAAATAGGTCACATTATCTCCTCTACTAGTATATAAAAGACGAGAAAATTTCAAGCACCACCGTTGTAATACAATCATAAGCTTATAGGATAGCATATAAATCATAAGCTTATAGGATATCAAAGAAAAAATGACTACCTAGTCCACAGTGATATGTCCGTCAGTCGAGGAGCTCCCTCTTCAAGAAAACCTTCCTTGTAAGCATGGAGTAATACTCCAACAAAACATAGTTTATGATTGTACTTAAATCTAGTAAACTGATCTTGGCCCGGACCAAGCTTGATTTCGACCCTCATAAACTTCGTGAAACTTCTCTCCTTATCAGCGACATATGGAAACAGACGTAAATGACAGCCTTGAATTTCACTCAAGAAATTTGTCAGCAAAAAACTCGTCTGTGCGATAAAACCATCAAATGAATTTCCATGACAGCCGGCTAATGTAGTATCAGAATTTCCAGAGTCTGAATTAGTGATGAATAGCTTCTGATGCCATGTTGCTGCCTAAAACTTTCAGCATCTCCAACTGCATTTGATTCTTCGTTTAAAGCAACTTGGATACTATTCCATGGGGATAAAATGGGAACCCTCAAAGGTCTTATGGCTGGAGGATGAAGTTCCTCTTTAAGATTAGAGGCAGCAGCTTCGGTCTCCTTGAGGCATAAATATGCATCGCAATCAGGAAAATCTGAAGGAATATATGGCAACCCCATCTAGAAAATAAAAGGGACTTAGATGCAACATTCGATAACCTGATATTAAATATTATAATTTACACGTAATAAGTTTCAATGCTTACTTCACACGAAATCCAGCGCTTCTCTCTCAACCCCATTGCATGAGCCCCCTTAGAGACAAGAGAAATCCAAAATGCCTTGACCCAGCTTAAGGGGAGTATAACAGACCATCTGTAAGGCAATAAGAGATAGACTTCTAAGGTAACTTTAAAAATATATCATACTCAATTGAACAGATGATAAAGTTTGATGCATTGATGGAATTTTAAGGCGAGTCAGAAAAAAACAGATTGTCACATTCTACTTTCATGAAATCCAGAACTTCGAAGATCACGTTATCAATTATTGCACAAAGAGTCAGCAGGAACATTTATGCCATGACTTTCATGTTTCCGATAAAAAGACATAGAACTCCATAATATATATCTTATGAGAAACAAAATATATTAACAGTTTATAAACAGTACGAACATACAACTCAGGAGAAATGGTGCCCACTGAACCCACATATAAGCATTAATACAAGTACATAAAATATGCAGCAATTAGCTTAATCCACATAACACTAAATGGAAGAATAAACCAGGAAAAAAAGGAGTTTACCCAACATGCAAGCCTCTTCCGTTACTATCTTCAAAAGCATAATCGGGCAAGATCATGAGCCCTGTGACGTGGAGGAAGTATTTAGTTCCCCTGAACTTCAATCATCGAGGCTGAACAAATTCCTATTCTGGTCATGTTTTTCCTTGCAAAGAACAGCCTCTTCCACTGGAGGGCTTACTCCACTGCTAACATCCTACAAATTGTTTGCTCTGATCTTGCCATTACCTGCAGGTTCATCTGAAAATCGTCCAAAGATAACATGCTTTTTGTCTTCAGCTCCTAGTACATCACCTAGTATACTAGCTGAACCTAAATCTTGAGCATCTGCAGTGTTTCCCTTCTCTGTTAATGTGCAAGGATCCTTGACATTAAGGGACAAAATTGCATGAGAAGGAATTTCCTCCTCATTTTTAAGATGAATTGTAGATTGGGAATCCTCATCCGCCTTGGCAGCTGAATGTCTCATCAACTTCCAAGAATTATCTCTAGTCCTATTCAGCCAGACAACAAAATTAGCCATCTTTAACCTCATTACTTGGTTATGTCACTGAAATCCTCTCCGTAACTCACCTGGTAGAAGGGATTAATGTCCTTTGAAGGAGTTGAAATGCTTTTGATCCCACTAATTCTAATTTTGCAAGTTGACCCTCAAGTGAGAAACAATTAATCACGATGTCCCTGCCCTCCATCTAAGATAATAAAGCATTATATGAATAACAGTAAATAATCTACCGAGAACATGTAGTATCATCTAACAGTATGAGTTCTCTATTCTGACATCTACCAAGTCTAGACTAGAGGCAAACTTTGACACCTAAGCACAGCACAAAAACCACTTGAGATAGCATTTGAAAAAAAATGTTGGCTTATCAGAGAATCAAGTACAAAGCATAGAAGTAGACGAGTTTCAGTATTGCCCTAAATCATCATTCACTCAAAGAATTCAATACCAAACCAGGGCTGTTGCATTCTATCTTAAGATCCATAAATCATTATTTCCTTCCTTCTGACGTGAAGTCAGATGAGATTAAGCCTCTATACACTTGCTATTGATGTATGTGTGAACAAAAAGAAGGAATGGGTACCTCTTTTTGGCAAGCTAATTTCAAAGTGTCATAAGCTTCAGTGAGAGCAGAAGCATGTATCCACACCCAAAGCTGGCGATCAGTAGAAGAGTGGTTTGTACTCTCTAGTCCTTTAAATTCATCGCCTTCACAGTCAGCTGCATTATTATCTCTATTTGGTTGGCCAGAAGGCCGCCACATACAGTTCACAGGAGCAATTGGTTTTGAAAGAGGTGCTCCCAAATGATGAAGCTGCAAAAAATGGGTCATCAAGTCAATACCTCAAGTCATCCACATTCACAAAGAAAAGTGCAATAGGATAACTTACCATAGCATTATCATATATGACGCCAGAAATAACAGAACGGGAAACATTTTCAGAACGAGTTGACTGAGGAGACACCATTACCATGCCTAACACTGATAGTAACGAATCCTGGATGCATATGAAGTAGGGTGTAACATCATAATTTAGTAGCAGAAAATAACATATTGCAACACTTTTCCTTTTGAAGAAAAATAAATTAAAAGGTATACAATTTCATAGGAATAAATTCATAAGATAGAAAGTAAATGCCTGCCTCCGGCCCCTCCAATTGGATAGCTACATGATAGCTTGCATCATGAACAAGCACTCCATCCCTGAACCACTTCAAGACAGCTCTGGACCCCCTTCCTCTACATTTTATTGTTTTTTTTTTTTTTGATAAAATAGATATACAAGCGAATTAGTTATTTATTGAGAAATAGAAGAAATAATAAGCGAAAAGTAAAGAATAACACTGCTAAATTAATATGCGTTTTACCTGCCCTGCAAACCCAAGGGAAGGTAGTAACCCCAAAGCTCTGTCATTGCGAACCGCTTCGCATGCCAAACATGTGTTCTAAGCCTCTTTGTACCATCCCCTGATGTGCAGAAACCCTTTTCAAGGTTCATTTTAAGCTCAGCTCTCCTACGAATGCGATGAGGAACATTCTTGTCATCTTTCTCTGGAGGCAATGTCAAAGCATTACTCTGATCAAGTTTTCTCTATTTTCTAAATCTTTTTTTGGCGGCTTGATTGTCGTAAGCAGTGGTTCTTCTTCTCTTGCTTCTCCGAGACCGGAAATCATTGTTCAATCTGTTAGATACAATTGAATGGAGTGTCTCAAGCTCTGAACCCCGTGATTCTGCAAACTTTTGGACATTGATTTTTCGAGGCGGAGCTGATGAAACCTGTTGCCGTCTGAAACCATCGGTAGCCATTAGACAAAATTAAACCCCTCAGATGAAGAACGATATTATACCAGTCTGCCACACAATTATAATCGCCTCTTCACTCTTCGGACATCATTGGTCTCTATTCGCAGTACTACTCTATTACTCTGAAATGTCCAAAAACAAATTGTAAGATTCTTCAAAGCGTAGCAATCGCAACTGGTTCCAATTCCAATTACTTTTTATGGCGCATTTACGTAACGTAATCAAAATAGAGGAATTGAATTGAGGAGGACTCAGAATCGGATTCTATTGAAGCTGTTGGAATCGGATTCTATTCGCAGTACTAGTACTGTGAAATGTCCAAAAACAATTTTTGAGATTCTTCAAAGCTTAGCAATCGCAACTGTGGTTCCAATTCCAAATAAATATAAAGTTCGAAACAATAGAAAACATCAGATACGAAATTCACAGTCTAACTAACATGATAACATCAATGATACAACAACTTCAACTTAACTTTCGAAAACCAATATGTAATGACACAAAGCTAAATGAGCAACTACTGCGGTATCCAATAAATATATAAAGATTGAAACAAAGAAAACATTAAGATAAGAAATTCTGAATGCAATGTGACCAACAAAATCAATTACTTGGCACTGGCACTGCCACTGTAGGAATTTAACAAAAGAAACTCCTCACATCAACCACCAGTTGCATTGCGTGTATCAAAACTCACCAGATATGCTCACAAATTCATACTAACAATTATTTTAAAAACAAAATCAAAATAAGAACAAGGATGCAGTGCAGTGCAGATTCACTCGAAAACTAAGTGAGATTGCGGGATTATCGGAACTGAATGGCTTGGATTTGCGTTTCAGCTTCTGGTTATCTAGTGGTAGACGTCACAAAATTAGTAAAATTAACTAATTTGAATGAAAATAAAGAATAAAACTTTACCATGGGAATCTGCAAGCAGAGATAGAGAGAGAGTACCTGAGGACTGAGAGAAGAAGAATATGTGAGAGGGAGAGGAGAGAGATTTTGCAGCTGAAGAGTGGAGAAAGAAAGGAGGGAAAAGGGGTACCGAGCAAGTGGCAGCCTACTTGATACCTGGAGCAATTTAATTGATTACCGTTGGATCAATCTCAACGGCTGAAACTAAACACTTTCTGTATCCAAGAAAAACAAGGCATCGGACTGAAAACTCCATTCAGGACTCGGATTGATTCATCAGCGCGCTCACTCTCACTCTGTTGTTTTAAGTGATGGATCATATAAACTAAGGAAGCCAGATCGTCGTTGTTTTCAGAGAAACACATCTTCTCGGCCCTCTCAACTCCGAAACACACACGAGGGAGGCCAAATGGGCCTCAGCCTTCTTCCTCGCAATCTCACAACAAACCCATACCTCTACCAAACGGCCCTCGCAACCTCTACCACTTTCGCTGATTCAATCCACGTCTTCGTCGAGGTAAAGACTTCATCTTTTTCAATGTTAGAGTTAATGGGTTTTACCCCTTTACCTGATCAAGTATGTAATCGCCATTGTAAACTTGCATGCTAGTTCTTCTCTGATCAAGGCCAGGAAGTCGACCGATGCTAAATTGGATTATTCTCACATCACGGTAAAACAATTTTTGAAATTACTGCCTGAAGTTTACTGCATTTTCGTCACTAATCTAAACCCAGATATGAGATATCGAATAAGTAGCAAATTGATTTTGGGATTTTAGGTTGAGCTTCGGACAGTTGATGGGTTCTTGAAGGATAGCACTCAAGAGTTACTACTTCATTCCCGTTTATGACAAGGTATTATTTCTTATTCTTTTTCGGTGTCAGATTTCGCTGGATCTTTGCATTTCACGTGCTCTCATGCTTCAGTGATGATGTTGTGTTGTCTGTTAAATTATCGGAGGAGATGGCGAAGAGCTAGACCGGTAAACGGTCGGATTTATTGGATTTGAGTCGGGTTGAATCCGATCTGTTAATTTAATGGGTCATTTAAACCCAACCCGTTAAATTGACTGATCATCCGAACCCAACTTGTTAACATTTTATCCAAATCAATTACAATCCCGTTTTATATAGTAGAATTCGACTTTCTATCAATTATATGCATCTCCTAATCTTAACATGGATGAGAAAATTGTATAAGTAAAACACAACTTCGGCAGACCCGACAATGATGAGCCCTGCGAGGCTTGTATTTAGAACACTTTTCACAGCCCCCATGTCAGAGATCAAGAATCAAAAGTTTCAAAATTAGCTACAGAGAGAAGAAATCAGCATTTTTAATGTGCGGCTAGACGCACTGCCATAAAGTACTTGATGACGTGAACTCTTCAAAAATTCAATGAAAGTGGGTTGCAGGGGGAAGAGAGAGAGAGCTTTGCTTTTAATAGTGCAGTACTGCAGTATTCCGTCGAGTTGAAGAAGACGTCGGAGAGAGTGGTAATTTCTGAGGAAGAAGGTGAGGGGGAAGTTCTCAGAGATGACGTGCACACTACTGCAATAGTGCAATGCGAGAGAGTGAGGGTTTCATTATTACTATTGAAATTACACAAAAGCCCTCAATAACGAGTGTTAACGGGTGGTTAATGGGTTTCGCAGGTTCATCCAAAATAACCCGTTATTTAACGGGTGCTTAATGGGTTGACCCCGTTAACTACCCGACCCGATAAACACTCATCCACATACTCATTTTAACGGGTCAGATCGGGTTGGGTTAACGGGTCGGATTTAAAATGCCAGTGCTACGAAGAGCCATACACTTGGTATTGCTTACTCGACTGAAACTCTCTGGTTGGGACTGTTAATTGTACAGTTGAACTACACCACTCTCACATCATGAATGACAGGTTTTGTTTTTGTTATAGATCAAGTCCTGATTTGCCTGTATTATTGTTGATCTTGGTAAGTTTACTTATTTAGCTTTAGTTGGGTTCCTAATTATGCATGCTTGTACTTTTTGTTCCATACTTTGAAATTGGCTTCAACCGCAAGATCATTCAATTTGGTCACTTTTTTTTTATAATTTGGAACTAGTCCCCTAGACCAACCAACCTTCTTTATAATTTGACTCCTTCACGTAAAGCCACATGCCCCCAAAAATACCCTAAACCCGAAAGTCAAATTAACTTTTGACCAAAAAAACCAAATATTGTCAAATTAACGGTTTGATTAATGGAGGTATGAAATTGCTAAAAAATACAAGTTTGTGTATGAGATTAAAATGCTCTAAAGATGTTGTATGAGGTTACAATTACACTCACACTTAGGATGTAAAATGTTATTTACTTAATTTTAATTGTAAATTTTGAAGTTTTCAAGGGCAATTTATGGTATTTACATTTAGAATGCTTCACAATATAAAGTCTCCCACTTTATAGATATAGACAATTTAATTGTAAATTTTGAAGTTTTCATGGATAATTTATGGTATTTTGAATGTTTCATCCTATATAAAATTTATGGTATTTTGAATGTTTCATCCTATATATATATATATATATATATATAAAGGTTTATGTACACCTCGTGTAACTTTTTTTTGTCCTAGTTTCATCAAAGAACTGCTAGTGGGGGATTCTCCACAAAAATTGATAGTCAAAGTCCTCTCAAATTCTATATTATCCTCAACATCCCATTCACTTACGAGGAAACTTCGTCGTCAATAAGTGTGGAGTGCCTGGTGGCTAATGGGAACCTTCCTCTTCATATATCATATTATGTCTTGTCCCTCTCAGAAACTGCATATAATTGTCCTTGGCCTTGCATATGCTTGCCCTGCTTTCATTCATTGCGAGAACCAAGAAGCAGAGGGTTTCTCTAGATGGATGCTTTCCGAGATTCCTCTTCCTCCTCTTACCGGTGTTCCTATCATGCCTTCTTGAGTTTCAGAGGCCAGGACACGCGCAGGGGCTTTACTGATCACCTCTATAGAGCCTTGGAGCTAGCAGGAATCCACACGTTTAGAGACGATGATGAAATCAAGAGAGGGGAGAATATTGAGTCGGAGTTAGACAAGGCGATACAGGAGTCACAAGTATCGATAATTGTCTTCTCCAAGGACTACGCTTCCTCAAGGTGGTGTTTGAACGAACTTCTGAAGATCGTGGAACGTAGAAATACTGATCATAGACATGTGGTTCTGCCAGTTTTCTATGATGTGGATCCATCCGATGTCAGGAAGCAGAGTGGTACTTTTGCTAAAGCATTTGCCAGACATGAGGAGCGATTCAGTACCGAGATGGACAAGGTGGAGCAGTGGAGAAGAGCTCTTGGAGATGTTGCATCTTTGGGAGGCATGGTTTTAGGAGATCGGTAATTTCTATTCTCATTATCTTCTCACGCTAATTGAAAGTGTCTTTTAAATTAAGTAAAATTGTAGATGGTGGTGAAGCTTGAAATTGTTCGATTTTGGTTTATGTGTTCAGTGTTCCTATCTATACTGCAATTTGTACGAGGAGCAATCATTTCCGTACATGACATATTATGTAAAAGAAAATAACTTATTTCTACTTCGTATATTTTGTTTCAAATGAATTACAGGTATGAGGGGCAGTTCATCCAAGATGTTGTTGAAGAGATTAGTAATAAACTGGATCCCGCAGCTTTAGACGTTGCTCCCTTTGCAGTTGGAATAGATAATCGTGTGCAAGACCTAAATATGTGGTTACAAGATGGATCAAATGATGTTGGTGTAGCTGTCATCTGTGGTATGGGTGGAATTGGCAAGAGCACCATTGTGAAAGCTGCTTATAACCAAAACTTTGATAGATTTCAAGGTAGCAGCTTTCTTGCAGATATACGAGAATCTTCAGAACAACCTAATGGTTTTGCTCGCTTGCAAAGAAAACTTCTTTTAGATATCCAAAAGGGGAACGCAAAGAAAGTATACAATGTGGCTGAAGGAATAAGCAGGATCAAACGAGCCGTAGGCTATAAAAGAGTTCTTATTGTTCTCGATGATGTGAACAGCCGGGATCAACTCAATGCAATTCTTGGAATGCGAGAATGGCTTCATCCAGGAAGTAAAATTATCATAACAACTCGACATGAACATTTGTTAAATGCTCATGAAGTTTGTGAAAAGTTTATGGTTCGAGAACTGGATGAAGATGAATCACTTGAGCTTTTCAGTTGGCATGCCTTCGGACAATCCCATCCGGTAGAAGGTTACATGGAGCTTTCAAGACATGTGGTGCAGCATTGTGGAGGGCTTCCATTAGCTATTCAAGTTCTGGGATCTTCTTTATCTGGAAAAAGTGTAGAAGTATGGCAAAGTGCATTGCAGAAGTTAGACGTGATCCCTAATGACAAAATTCAAAAAGTTCTGAGGATAAGTTTTGATTCTTTACACGAAGATCATGACCAAAATTTATTCCTTCATATAGCTAGCTTCTTCACAGGAAAGACGATGGATTATATAATTACAATACTGGACAACTTAGAGTTTTGCACAAGGGTTGGGATTGAAAATCTAGTTGATAGATGTCTAGTGACAATTCAAGGGACGAAGTTGGTCATGCATCAATTGTTGAGAAACATGGCAATGGCAATTATTCGCAAAGAATCACCTCATGACCCTGGAAAACGTAGTAGAGTGTTGCAGAACGATGCCTCTAATATTTTGAGAAAATTAAGTGTAAGAAATGTGTTTTTCATGCGTATGTATTTTTAGTTATGATTTGCATGTGCAGTACTGGTTATATACTTACCCAATGCTCTGATTTTTTTGCAGGGCACAGAAAATATTAAGGGCCTCATGCTCAACCTTGCTAGCAAAAGAACATTTGTTGGAAGTGATAACAAACGATGCCATGCTGAAGATTATGATGGAAACTGTTCAAGACGACGTCGGCTTGGTTTCTTCTCTTGGAAGCCAGTTAGTTTTTCCTCCACAAACTCAGCTTCTGCATCAAATGAGATAGATTTCAAATCTGAGGCTTTTAGAAGGATGCACAATCTTGAAATTCTCATGCTCAACAACGTCAACGTCAGGGGAAGCTACGAAGAATTTTCAAAAAAATTAGTATGTTTATCTTGGCGAGGATTCCACTTAAAATCAATACCCGAAAATTTTTGTTTGGAAAACCTGGTTGTTCTAGACATGCGAAATAGTAGCCTACAACATGTTTGGAATGAGACCAGGGTATGTAATTATCTCTCTCTCTCTCTCTCTCTCACACACACACAAAAATTAATAGGGGCCATTATATCTTCTTAGAAGCTAATTAATTTGTATTATTATTGAAACAGGTTATTCCGAGGCTGAAGATTCTTAATTTCAGTCATTCGCATGGCCTTAGGACAGTCCCCGATTTCTCAGGACTCTATAACCTTGAGAGGTTGATTCTTAAACATTGCATAAATTTGGTTGAGGTTCATGAGTCCATCGGAAACCTAGAAAAACTTGCTGTTTTGAATCTAGAAGGCTGCAAAAATCTCATGAAGCTTCCAGTATTGAGATCTATTCAGGATCTTATTCTTTCTGGTTGCTCAAAGCTTGAAATGAAGAAACTCAATCTGGTATCAGCTAAATCATGGTATTCAGTCTGGTCGTGGGTGTCGCCAAGAAAACATACTGAATTAAGCAGTTTCTCATTGGCAAGTTTACCACGTTCTTTGATAAGTTTAAGTCTGGATTGCTGCAATATATCAGAGATTCCAAGTGCCCTAACTATGCTGTCCTCGTTAGAGTACTTGAAGCTGGATGATAATCCGATTACAAGCCTACCAGAAAGCATGAACAATCTTGTTAAGCTCCAGAGTCTTAAAGTATCTGGTTGCAGAAACCTCACAATGCTTCCAGAGCTCCCACGTTCTTTGACAAGTTTAACACTGGCTTGCTGCAATATATCAGAGATTCCAAGTGCCCTAACTATGCTGTCCTTATTAGAGTACTTGGATCTTGATGGTAATCCGATTACAAGCCTACCAGAAAGCATGAACAATGTTGTTAAGCTCCAGACTCTTAAAGTATCTGGTTGCAGAAACCTCACAATACTTCCAGAGCTCCCACGTTCTTTGACATGTTTAACACTGGCTTGCTGCAATATATCAGAGATTCCTAGTGCCCTAACTATGCTGTCCTCATTAGAGTACTTGGATCTTGATGGTAATCCGATTACAAGCCTACCAGAAAGCATGAACAATGTTGTTAAGCTCCAAACTCTTAAAGTATCTGGTTGCAGAAACCTCACAATACTTCCAGAGCTCCCACGTTCTTTGACAGGTTTAACACTGGCTTGCTGCAATATATCAGAGATTCCAAGTGCCCTAACTATGCAGTCCTCATTAGAGTACTTGGATCTTGATGGTAATCCGATTACAAGCCTACCAGAAAGCATGAACAATCTTGTTAAGCTCCAGACTCTTAAAGTATCTGGTTGCAGAAACCTCACAATACTTCCAGAGCTCCCACGTTCTTTGACAGGTTTAACACTGGCTTGCTGCAATATATCAGAGATTCCAAGTGCCCTAACTATGCAGTCCTCATTAGAGTACTTGGATCTTGATGGTAATCGGATTACAAGCCTACCAGAAAGCATGAACAATCTTGTTAAGCTCCAGACTCTTAAAGTATCTGGTTGCAGAAACCTCACAATACTTCCAGAGCTCCCACGTTCTTTGACATGTTTAACACTGGCTTGCTGCAATATATCAGAGATTCCAAGTGCCCTAACTATGCAGCCCTCATTAGAGTACTTGGATCTTGATTGTAATCCGATTACAAGCCTACCAGAAAGCATGAACAATCTTGTTAAGCTCCAGACTCTTAAAGTATCTGGTTGCAGAAACCTCACAATACTTCCAGAGCTCCCAAGTTCTTTGACATGTTTAACACTGGCTTGCTGCAATATATCAGAGATTCCAAGTGCCCTAACTATGCTGTCCTCGTTGGAGTACTTGGATCTTGATGGTAATCCGATTACAAGCCTACCAGAAAGCATGAACAATCTTGTTAAGCTCCAGACTCTTAAAGTATCTGGTTGCAGAAACCTCACAATACTTCCAGAGCTCCCACGTTCTTTGACATGTTTAACACTGGCTTGCTGCAATATATCAGAGATTCCAAGTGCCCTAACTATGCTGTCCCTCGTTGGAGTACTTGGATCTTGATGGTAATCCGATTACAAGCCTACCAGAAAGCATGAACAATCTTGTTAAGCTCCAGACTCTTAAAGTATCTGGTTGCAGAAACCTCACAATACTTCCAGAGCTCCCATGTTCTTTGACAAGTTTAACACTAGCTTGCTGCAATATATCAGAGATTCCAAGTGCCCTAACTATGCTGTCCTCGTTGGAGAAGTTGGATCTGAGTTGCAATCCGATTACAAGCCTACCAGAAAGCATGAACAATCTTGTTAAGCTCCAAACTCTTAAAGTATCTGGTTGCAGAAACCTCACAATACTTCCAGAGCTCCCACATTCTTTGACAAGTTTAACACTGGCTTGCTGCAATATATCAGAGATTCCAAGTGCCCTAACTATGCTGTCCTCGTTGGAGAAGTTGGATCTGAGTTACAATCCGATTACAAGCCTACCAGAAAGCATGAACAATCTTGTTAAGCTCCAGACTCTTAAAGTATCTGGTTGCAGAAACCTCACAATACTTCCAGAGCTCCCACGTTCTTTGACAAGTTTAACACTGGCTTGCTGCAATATATCAGAGATTCCAAGTGCCCTAACTATGCTGTCCTCATTAGAGTACTTGGATCTTGATGGTAATCTGATTACAAGCCTACCAGAAAGCATGAACAATCTTGTTAAGCTCCAGACTCTTAAAGTATCTGGTTGCAAAAACCTCACAATGCTTCCAGAGCTCCCGCGTAGTTGAAACAATTGTGTGATCGTGGTTGCACATCATTGAAAAGAATAACAAATTAACCGAAGTTGGGCATGTCACCGGGCTTAGATTACCGGTTTTCTTGCATAGTAATGGACCCAAGGCTATGGTATTGTGGGAAACTTGTTGATTTTAGAAGCTTGTTGGATACACTAGCATTGGACTTATATCTCTCAGATCTATTCGATTTGGAACCCAAAGGTGGCATTGAGGTCCAAGGGAACTATTGTGAGAGTTTGGGCGTCAAGGTTCTCTCTCTCTCTCTCTCTCTCTCTCTCTCTCTCTCTCATGTACAAATGCTTATAATATGGTGAATAAGATCTCTATGGCGTAAACGATTAGATTGTAATGACAACACCACCATGAAACTGCAGGGAACTTTTCACTGCTGCATATTGAGCATATTTGTTCATGGGAGCAAGATTCCAGATCGGTTCAATTACAGGAGCATGGGTAACACTGTGTTCTCTATTATTGTTCCTTCACATCTAAGGGGGGTGTATTCAATTAGGATTTTGAGAGAGTCTCTAGGAATTAATGATTCCAGGTGTATTCAATTGGGAATTTAAAAGACTTTATAAAAGTCTTGGTGTATTCAATTGAGATTCTTAAAGACTTCTTACAATTCCCTATAAATTCAGGTGTATTCAATCATAACTTTTTGAAAGTCTCTAAAAGTTTAGGTATATTGAGAAAGGAATTGGATTTGAACGGATTTGTGATTTGGTGGATTTTGGAGGATTTCAAGGTGATATGTATACCAAAGAGCTTGGCAAATCTCACCTCAACCCTAGAAACTTTGAGACATGTTGAGCGTGCTGCTCTCTCCTCCAGAGAGCGTCTTCTCCTCCCCAGAAACATGGGCTCCAAGGTAAAAAATTTCTCACCTTGTACATGCTATCTTTTTTTCTCCCCTTCAAGCTTCATGATTTTCTTGTTTTGATAGTGTTGTTCTAGGGTTAGGGTTTTTCTGGTTACTTTGGAGTTAAGGTTTTTCTTGTTAGGGTTAGGGTTTTTCTGACCATCAAACTTTGTGAAATTTTTATATATATATTGTGAAGATACAAGTATTGATTTTACCGTTTGGATCCAAAAGTTGTTGAGTTTCTGCTTTGATTACTTTGGAATACAGTATAGATTGGGTTAGGGTTTGGAATTCTCAAGTTTGTATAGGTTGTTTTCCTTTTCCATCCCGTAATCAGTGGAGCACTGATCCTTTTCTTTTCAACTGCAACATTCTTGCAACCTCATTCTTTTTCTTTTCATCTTAATAAAAAATTTATTTCATGCCTCAAAGTTTTTTTTTTTAGTCGAAACATGGTAGGGTGAAGTTGTTTCCTTGATTTTTCAACCTTTGTATCTAGTCTATTCCTGATCAGCCTGTAATAGGGCTCGTACTTCTTGGCATTCTTTACGGTATCATAAATCAAATCAAAACCAATGGATTTCCCCCTCCAAAATGGGTGCAGAACTTGAATATGAAGATGGAATTTGGGTCCCTCACCTCTGAAAACGTTGTCTATACAAATAATTTGTCACTCCAAAAGTTGTTGAGTTTCTGCTTTCTCTATTCTTTTAAAATGTTTTTTGCTCACTTATACGAATTAGCTGTGAATAAAGAATCCATGTGATCATATACACAAACTAATTACGTTTATTATCTTATTATAGGGAGTTCATTTGGAGTTGCAAGGAAGTGATTTCAGAGGTGAGGCATTTATGTCCAATATTCTTCTGAACTATCGTCCTAATATTTAGAACTCACCTTGATATGTAAATGTATGACTGGAACGAATTTATGACTCCAAACTGTATTAGCTGCTTGTAACTTTGATTTGGAATTCATATATATTCTTAGTTGATGGGAGGGTTCAGCTCATGACTCCAAACTGTTACATGATGTTGTATCAAGGAAGAACAGACTTAAAGTTCCAGAAGGTTCGTATTCATTCATTTATTTACACTAGGACGTACCATAAATAATAACTTTATGTGTTTTATTTTTAGGTAAATTTTTTCTAGTGGATTGTGGATTTGCAAATCGTCGTCAAATTTTAGCTCTGTTTTGAGGTGTTCGATATCATCTCCAAGATTTTGCTGGTAACGATCGTGACCCCGTAAATGCAAATGAGTTGTTCAATCTTCGACATGCTTCCTTGAGAAACATAGTGGAGAGGATATTTGGTGTATTTAAATCTCGATTCATAGTTTTTAAGTCTGCACCTCCATTTCCAATGAAAACACAAGCAGAGTTAGTGTTAGCTTGTGCAGGATTGCACAACTTTCTTCGCAAAGAGTGTCGTTCTGATGAATTTCCAATCAAACAAGAAGATGATGAATTTGAAAATGATGATGAACTAGGTAATCAAACTCAAGAGCAACGGCGACAGATTGCTAATGCATGGAGAGCTAGCATAGCTACAAATATGTGGACAGATGCTATGAGTGAGAGCATTCAAAGATGACAAATATAATTAATTGTTTTTACGGATTGGAGTATGCAATTTGTGTTTGAAAAACTTTGATAGTTAGTATTTTGTAAGCCTTAACTTTCAAGATTTTGGATGCCAATGTTTAATTCACTTTGATAGCTACTTGAAAACATTGCATGTGAACTTGGTATTGGGATTTGGTATTAGTAGGATGAAACTGATTTTGGCTTGTAAAGGGAAGGAAAATGTTGATCAAATTCTCTAAAATTCTCTAACCCCATGTAAAGAATTCTCTCATAATTCATGTGAATTCTCTGGAAGTTATAATTAATTCACTCAAAATCTCTGGGAATTCATTTTTTTTTCCTCTCAAACTCTCTCAGATTCCATAGATTTAAATTCCTGGAGACTCTCAAAATCCTAATTGAATACACTCCCCTCTCAAGATCGTAGGTTTAAACGCATGTATATTATATGCACAGCAGTCGGATTGCCTTGAGGTTGCACGTGACCATGATGACCATTCGCTAGAACTTAGGAATGAGACAAAGGGCCTTAAGTGGAACTGCCACTTGTGGGATGAGGTTGAATGGAAAGTGATGAACGAAGATATGTTATGGCTTAGCCGTTGGATCATGGGGGAACAATGAGTTGGAATGCGGGGAAAGAGTGTGTCTTGCAATCAAAGAGGACTATGGTTTGCTCACAAAGGAGATTGGAGTCCAGTTTGTGTACGAGCAGCAAAATAAGGATAAGGAGGATGTCCCATCAAGTGGTGAAGATACAACGATCCAACGTGAAAGATCTACTTGGGAGTGGAGCCAAAGTTTCCTTGAAACCACAAGATCCCGTGTTCCGGGGGGTGTAGAGACGGGGGTTCAATGCATCCATAGCTGCGATAAGAAAGTAATTTCAACTGTCACGTGCGCGGCTGAATACTATTTCTGTAACATTGACAGTGACAGGATCCATCTTCCGAGAGGCTCTGAGGCAGTGGGTCGTAGGTTTTCGGACTTTAGCCAAAATTGTCGCCTTTTTAGCCAAAATAACCCAGTTTAATTGATGTTGGTGATGCCCAAATCACTAGATTCAAATGTGTATTGGTTGTTACGCTTTCGTTTCTATCTATTTTCTGTTTCCTCCTAAAAAATTGTTTTCAAGAATTTAATAAAATTTCATATTAAACAAGTTCTTGCCTGGATAAGAGTATGAACTAGCAAAAATGCCCGCGCTCCGCTGCAGGGACTTTTAGAAGTATGATCTTGTACAATCTGATTTCTTTTGCTATTCCTAGTTCTTTTTGGCATCATGTGCAAAACCAAATTGATGGCTAGGAAGAAAAAATGAAAACACCTGCATAAATTAAATTTTCCATCACCCCTACATTATAATTAAATAAAGCAAATACACAATAATCATCTCACAATTACAGAAGCAAGGACTATTAAATGCCACAATTATTTAACAACTACTATGCATAATTCTTAAAAAATGAGTATAAAATTAACCTCTTTTGAAAAACGAAGGAAGAAAGATGAAAGCTTATAACTATGTTGGACTCAATTATTTGACATTAATTACACAAACCCAATTCCATATATATAGCCAGACAAGCTTTATCCTAGAGAGAAACCATGCCCAAATGATTATATAATCTCTATACTGTGAATTCAGAGACTAAATTTCATAACTTTGCCAAGCATTACAGGAACCATGGAAAGAATAAAAATGACCACAAAGATTGCAAAACAATTAACCACAGGTGGTGTTTATATGCCCACTGAGAGAAAAAAGCTTCTGCAAGTCAAAAAACGTATTTATATAAAACAGGCCTGTACCATTTGAAAGAGCCTCTTGTATCCATTCCAATTATACTCATGTCTACCATATCCCTCTACAATTCCACACCACCAATCAACCATAACTGATTTCAATACCCTTAGCTGCTTTAGTGGACCATCTAGTGACACCTAACTGCCACCAAAATAAAAGACATGATCAAGACCATACAGATTACAGACTAAGATTAAAAACAATTGTTATCTATTAAGCAAAACTCGAACTCCTTGACATGGCAACCTCTTAATCCAGGATGTAGAGTAGAAAAACAAAATTATTGAAAAACCGAAAAATAACAATTTAACTTGCATAGTAAACGAATATTAGTAAAGTTACAGAACTCAATGGACTACATATACCAGTAAAAAAGCGAAACATCAGTGTTTGGGAAGTTACCTTATTTGAAATGTCAGGAGCATTTGGTGTACATACAGGGTAGACAGTCCTTGCAAAATTCAGGGCTTCAAAATAAAATAAAAAATAAATTCAAAACTATTAATCCTAACACCTGTTCAGTAAAGGATAAAACAATCTTTCCATCAAACAAATTTGAGAAACAAAAAAAGGGAACTAAATTTAAGTTGAATAGAGGTGACAATTGCTTACCTAGAAATCCAAACGAAATCCCCCAAAATTCACGCCCCCAAAACCCTACAAAACACTAGAGTTGAAAACCAGCGCTACACTGGGATCATCCACACAGCGACGAACTCCGATCATTGTCACCGATCTCCATCTCCTTCCAAAGCCAAAACCCTTTTAAGAAAAAGAGGGTAATGAATATGATAAAGCCAGTAATGAATTTTTTTTTGAAAAGAAACGAAAGAATTTTATAAAACGAAAGAATTACAAAAGAGAAACAGTAAACCACGTGGAAAAGAAATCCACCTGGAGCTAGAAGAAAACTAGCAAGGGCCCCTAACTAAAACTAAATGAACAGAGGAAAAGCTAGACCAAATCAAATAACGGCAGCTAACAAATCCCTAAAAATAGAAGAGAAATTGTAATCTCTAAACTCCACTGAAACCGAAGCCCAAAGGGCTGCCCAGTGTTTTACTCTATCCCAAAGCTCCTCAACCCCCACTCCCTTGTAATCCTCAAAGACTCTTTTATTACGCTCCAACCAAATGTTCCAGAAGAGGGCCAACAACAGAGATCCCCACAAAGTTTTGGCTTTCCTCCCTTTCCCTAGGCCTTCGAACTTAGTGCTTAGGAGCTCAAAACAGCCCTTTGGAGTGACCCAACTTGCTCCAGCTTCCTTGAGCAAATTCCACCAAATTTGAATGCTATACGGACAGTGGAGGAAAACATGGTTGACGCTTTCCTCCCCGGATTTGCACAAAGCGCACCATTGGGGGGAGAAACATGCAAAAGGCATTCGTCTTTGGACTTGTTCACAAGTATTAACCTTCCCGAGCGCCAATAGCCACACAAGGATTTTGACTTTTGGAGGCACTTTTGCTTTCCAAATCTGAACGAAAGGGGGAAATTGTTGCACAACTTCATTGTTGCAAAGGAAAGAGTTATAGGATTTGCAAGTGAACTGGCCAGAACCTTCTAAATTCCATCTTCTCCTGTCTTCTCTAGAATGACACAGCCGTACGGACTCCACCTTCTGCACTAAACCAGCCACATCTTCAATCTCCGACTCTCTTAGGTTTCTCCTAAAATCGAAATTCCAACTGACCGGCTGTAAAGAAGAAACCACCAAATTGGAATACTTTGGTTTTTTGTCCTTGCTAAAGAAAATAATCTAGGGAATTGCTCCTTCAACGGTCCGCCCTCCAACCAACCGTCCTCCCAGAATCTCAGCCTCTCTCCGTTACCAACCTCGAAGATGCATGAGTGAAGAAATGAAGGGTAACCAGCTGAGATGTCTGTCCAGGGACGCCTGCTCGAGCCTCGACTCGGACAATTAGCATCCCAACCATTTGCCACCAGACCGTACTTGCTCTTTATCACCCTATGCCAAAGAGAGTTTGATTCGCGCGGGAATCTCCACAGCCACTTGGCTAATAAGGCGGCATTCCGATTTCTCAAATTTCCCAGACCAAGGCCACCTTCCTCCTTGCTTTTACACACTTTCTCCCACTTGACCAAGTGAAACTTCTTTCCTTCCTCAACCCCTTCCCAAAGGAACCCTTTCATTAGCTTTTCCAATCTCCCAATGACCCCTCGTGGGGCTTTGAACAGGGACATGTAGTATATGGGCAAGGATCCTAGGACAGCTTGGATCAATGTTAATCTTCCGCCTCTAGATAAAAAAGCTTTATTCCAACCCTGAAGTCTCAATTCCACCTTCTCTACCACCGGGTCCCAGAACTTAATAGATTTTGGCTTGCCTCCGAGGGGAAGACCCAGGTATTTCATTGGCCAACTGCCCACCTCACAGCCCCAAGAACTTGCTAGCCTTGTAATTTTCTCGCCATTAGAATTAATTCCCACCAAGGAACACTTTGCTTTGTTAATCTTCAAACCTGAAACCTTGCCAAAAATTTGCAGCAAATGTAATAAATTGTTCCAAGCCTCCTCATGCCCTTCCAAGAAAAAAATTGTGTCATCCGCAGATTGAAGATGAGAGATCTCCACGTTATCTTGCCCAACACGCAGCCCTTTGATCAAATGATTATCTTGAGCCTTCTCAATTAATCTGCTCAGCACGTCTACAACTAGGGTGAACAAGAACGGAGACAGAGGGTCACCTTGTCTCAGTCCTCTTGAAGCTTTGAATTTTCCCCTAGGTCTCCCATTGATCAGAACTGAGAAAGTAGCCGTGCATATGCAACCAAGCACCCATTTTCTCCATCTAAACCCGAATCCCTTTCTCAGTAATACTTCTTCCAAGAATCTCCAATCGACGTGGTCATAAGCTTTTTCGAAATCAATCTTAAGAACCAAACCCTCCTCCTTCTTCTGCCTCACCTCTTCGACCACCTCGTTTGCTACGAGGACAGCGTCCAGAATTTGTCTGTCTTTAACAAAAGCTCCTTGAGATGGGGAAATTGTACTGCCCATGACATTCTTTAGTCTTGTAGCAAGGACTTTCGCCACTACCTTGTAAAGACTGGTAACTAAGCTTATAGGCCTATAGTCCCTCAAGTGCACAGAATCTGCCTTTTTCGGGATTAGGCATATATAAGTTTCATTTGTTACTGTGTTTATAATCCCATTTTCGAAGAATTCTTCCAACACCTTCATGATATCCGCCTTCAAAATATCCCAACAACTTTGGAACATTTGCAAAGAGAAGCCATCTGGGCCAGGGGACTTATCATTCCCACCATCGAAAACGGCTTTTTTAACTTCGGCTTCCTCGAACGGCCGTTCAAGCCAAGCTGCCTCGGTGGCATTAATTGGACCCCAATTAATACCATCCAGCCCCCAGCACTCCTCTTCGTTGCTACTGTACAGAGACTTGAAAAAATGAATGATTTCATTTTCAATCTCCTCTACCCCTTCTACCATTCTACCATCTTCCACTTCCAATCTCTCTATAAAATTTCTCTTCCTTCTCCCACTTGCTACCTTATGGAAAAATCTAGTGTTGCCATCCCCGTCTTTGGCCCAATCCACTTTGCTTCTCTGCCTCCACTTTACTTCTTCCTTCCAAGCCAGATCTTCCACTAGGAATCGGGTCTCTTCCCTCTTTCTTTTTGAATCCGAGTCTAGACCTTCCCTTCCTTCTTTAAAGTCAATTTCCTCTAATTTGGCATGGGCTTCCTTAAGATTTCTCTCAATGTCTCCGAAGACCTCCTTGCTCCAAGATTGCAACTTCTTTTTAATAATTTAACTTACTGGAAAATTTGTATCCCTCCCAACCTTCGACTATCGCAGAAAACCACCACTCTTTGAGATTGTTTCTAAAATCCGGATGATGTAGCCAAGAATTCTCGAACCTAAAAGGGCCTGGCCCCCACGTCACCTTGTTGGTATCTAATTCGATTGGGCAATGATCAGAGGTTACCCTTGCCAGAGCCTTTTGCCTTGCATGTGGAAACGACTCCTCCCAACCACCAGAGAATAAGAATCTGTCTAATCTTCAGCAAACTGTTTCTTCTCGAAAATTAGACCAAGTGAACTGAGCGTTGAGCAGATCTGGGTCAATGAGTTCGGAGTCCTGGATAAACTGGTTAAAAATCCTCATACTTGCAGTGGACCTTCCCCCATTAGACTTCTCGTTTTCGAACCTCACCACATTAAAATCTCCCCCCACACACCATCTTGGACTGCAAAGACCATAAAGGCCAGCTAGTTCTTCCCAGAAATCTTGTCTCTCCCTATATTTGCAAGGGCCATAGACCCCTGAGAGCCACCATTCCAAACCATTCAACTCTCTAATTTTGATGGAAACTGAGAACACTCCTACTAGAGACTCGACAACTGAGATATGTTTAGTGTTCCACATTACAACAATGCCCCCAGAACTTCCTTGAGCAGGGGCGAAAACCCATTCTTTAAATCTGCTTCCCCACACACTTGCCACTAGCTTTCTATCAATTGTGGCCGTTTTTGTTTCTTGTAAAATGATGATATCAGCCCGTGCTCGGCGGAAGTAGTCCTTCAAAAGCACCCTTTTCCTTCTGCTACCCAAACCTCTAATATTCCAGCTAATTATCTTCATTTAAATTTATCAAACCCCTTTTGCTCTTCCTTTTCTCTCCTCTTCCCACCCGCACCCCTGAGCTTTTACCAAGGAATAAGGATTTTTTTAGTGGCATCAGCGAAATCTTCATGTTTGACAAAAATTCGCTAGATCGTCCAGTAGCCTCCCATTTGTCAGAGACTCGGCCGGACCTTTTCCTTCTGCTATATTTAAGCACGTTGTTGTTGTCGTCATTTTCCTTGGTTTGATTTTGTTCGACTACCTCAAGATCTTGTCTGTAATCCCGTAGGGTACCCTCCTCTTCAGTTGCCGAAATCATTTCCTTGTCTCCATCGGAGAATAGATTCTGCAGTATACCTTCACCACTGTCAATTGGATCGAAATTAGCCTTCTCATCTTGGGGCGAATCCCCGAGCTCAACTTCTGATTCAGAACCCTGAGACCAATCATCTTCCTCAGCAAGGTAATCGAAATCCAGAGTTGGAAAAAAGTTTCTTGAGGAAATATTGCCGCTGACCGGTTCCATCCTCTGTGCGGCAGATGTTACACAAAGAGGATTGTGACCCATTAACTCCTCCATCTCTTCGTCCTGATCCGAATCGTCATCTAGGGATAGAAGATTAGAAGCACCGATTTTCTTTGGCGTTTCTTCCTCGTTGAGGTTCAGCCTCGATCCGAACTCTTTTGGAAGAACAAGTTTAAACCTTTTCTCTGCATTGGCTAAGTCTCCGAATTTCGCAATAAATTTCAGATTGCTGCAAATTATAGTGGCTTCGATTCCCTTCTCGTGGGCACGAAAGGTGCTTCTTTCTGATGCCATCTGGACTGTGTGAAACAGATCTACAAACTGAAAATTTGGCATCACCATTACTTCTTTTCCGTGATGGAATAACCCAATTTCTATCGCCAATCACCCTTGCTGAGTGATGATTCACACACTTCCTCATACTTGTTTATGGGTACCTATCCAACAAAATTTTGACTTAGTACCCAAAAACTGTATCAGCTCACGAACAGATCAAATTCAAAGCAGAACCCACATATTCTGAAGATTCTAGAGTTAAAAGAGGAGCAAGGAGGTTCGGTTACGGAATCCAAAACGCCATTTTAATGAGCAAATGAATACCTAAACTGGGGTTAACAATTTTCAGCAATAAAAAACATGTCTTTCGATCGAAGTTGCATATATTACAGAACTTT